TATATATATATATATATAGACACACGCACGCGCGCACGCATGCACGCGCACGCACACACACACACACGCGCGCACGCACGCACGCACGCAAGATGTTAAAAAAAACCATTCAACATTTATATTAAATAGTACATATACTCAGTAAAAAAACTTTAATGAAATAGATCGAAAGCTTAATCGTTTCTAATTGTAAGATATAAACATTTTTGTATGTTAATATCATGAATGACTTACTGATTTTTACGTGTTGTGTTGCATGCGAAATTTTTTTATTTATGCGTATTACTCTAATTAAGAAATGGCAGATATTTTTGTATGATTGGCTAATGGAAATGCTAATTGGAAATGCTTTATTTATGATGCTAACAAAAATGTTTATATCTCAGAAACGGTTGAGTTTTCGACCTATATTCACTAAGGTTTTTTTACTCAGTATAGCGTGTACTAGTTACTATATAATATATAAATGGTTTTTTTAACATCCTGTATATAAATTAGAGATTGTAGATTATATAAAATTGTCGATTGAAAGTTATACATTATAAATTAGATTAAAATTATAGAAATTCATCAAACTTTTTGTTGATTTTTAATACCATTTTATCATAAATATTGAATAGTTAGTCTGCACTACATTAGGCAAAGTATACTTTCGGTTTACCAGAAAGTGGTCCGCGGGCTGTCTTATTAATAGACTATCAGGTGAACGCGTAGTATACTAGGCTGCTAGACTTGATGTTCTAATGGCCAAATAAAAATAGAAATATACACGATGCATATCTAAATCTACATATATTCTATGTATTAAAATTTACTTATTAATCTCTATTGAAATTGGCGCGTACACCAAAAGTGTATCAAGCAATCCATGAGTGTGTGTCGATTTTTGAAATGATAGTCAAACAGATTGAAAATACGAGTACACGATTTGAGTAAATGTCGGAGCGACAATCGAGAATTACGTCGGTAGATTGCCAAGCGTATAATTAATTGTCGAAACAGTGGAATTTAATATTTTCAAAAATCTTTAAAAATAATAGTACGCATAAGAAGCAAAATAATATTGAGTTAAGTTGGCCTCTATCTATATTTTCAACTTTTAAATATATGAATAAAAATTTCCTCTTAAATTTCAATTAAATCACATAAATAAATAGAAAAGTATTATTAATATTATACATGATCACATATATGTAATCAGACAGCTAATTACGCGTAGATGTTTGAATGGCATATTTTGGAGATAAATAAAAAAATAACCTTCCTTCGAGAGCTCTAAAAATCACTTCGACCGAACAGTCTCATAAAGAAACTTTCATCTCATAAAAGTTTATTCGTCTGGATAAACACTCTTCTAGCGATTTTGCAACAGAAAATCATTATTTTGATGGTTTAACAAAATTATTTTTAGATCTGTATCAAGCTAAATTTTTACATACAAAGCAAAACAGTTTTTTCCTTGTAATAAATTTTTAATTATTAATTGTCGAAAATAATTTATGATTCACCTTAAAAAAAGCATGCTCACTTACGGTAATATTGAAAATATTGTACATACAGGTATGTCTATCTGATAAGCAAAAAAATATTATAATATTTAATAATATTAAATAAACAAAATATTAAGTTTTTGCCAAATTTTAATATTATTTCAAGAAAAGTCGACGAAATAAAGAATTGAAATTAAGCTGTGGAGCAATAGTACGACTGATAAGTTCTTTATTGCGGAATTATAATTGTTTTCAACTAGCTTGCCTGGTTTTGTAAAATATAATCGCGTGAGACATGAACAAATTTAAACGGAAGAACTTGATTCAGTTGAAGTTGTCGGAATATCTGTGTTTAGCGTTTTTAGGGCTGATCGTCGAATAGATGTATAAGATGTAAAAGTCGCCCACAGCTAGTTGGCATTACTTTACGAGTCGCCCAATTTAGAAGCGAGGATGCATCCAGTCGATATATCTGGCGGGGGTTACGTCGATTGGCGATTTATTTTGGGACGTCAATGGAAAGCCGATGCGACGAGGACAAACATCAATTTTGAAGTCCATGTACCCCCGGAGCGCGACGATAGAAATAGCGCAACGTAGTGGCGGAAATAGCCACTACGCGATCCTACGCGATAACTACCGATGGCACGTGCCGCTATGGAGAAGAATTTCACGTGCGACAATTGAACTCTCAACGTGTTCACGTTGAATATTTCACTATTCATGTATACAAAATTTTAGAAAATCGATTTTAGAAAAATGTAGCTCTTATCATAATTGCTCTAATGATATTAAATATTCATTACAGAAATAGCATAACATAATTATTGCTATCTATTAAAAGAGTAAAATGAAAAATAATTGTAATGTTTCTTTCTATAGAAAGCGCAGGAATGCAATAACACTGTGGAGCTTATTAATAACAGTATATTATTGTATATTTTATGCGCACGATGTTGTGTGCAATCATCTACAATACCAAGGAATTGAAACAGAACCCAGATTGTGATTCGAGAAAATTGACTTTCCGATATTATTCTCGATTAATGTAGCTAGCATACACGGCGTGCACTACATCATTTTGACATTTCGACAACCAAGCATAATGCGTAGGCTATTACGCGCATAAATTATTCCACTCACAATAATTGCGATAATATCGAGTCGCTATAAAATCGTAAAATGTCTATATGTACAAGTAATTTGATAAAAGAGACTTTTTTATAAATATATATTAAAATCTTCAATTTTCACATATTAAATAACAATAATAAATATTAAATTATGTATGTAATTTTTTTAGATTTATTCCTGTTATTCCTAATTTATTCCTATTATCTGATTCTTTCCATGGAATTCATTTATATTGGTGTAAAATGTTTTCCAAATTTCACTATTTTATTAATTTTTTTTTTAATTTAAATGTAATTTACCTATTTATTGTATTGATTAATGCCGAACATTAAAAAAGCTAATATATAATACTTATTAAAGATGGCCGATTTTTTTCAGAAAAGAAGTATAAATGACATTGGCCTCTAATTGGTGATGTGGAATCTAGTCTAGTAATTACCTTTTATGAAAAAAACTAATTTCACTTATTTAATACTATCTCAGTGTATCCCAAAAAAATAATAGATTGGATGAAAGGAAATTACAGATTATGCAAGTTGTTAGTGAGAAAAAAAGAATAAGTATCGATTCTTATGATTTGCGATTATCATGCAAACTAGAGAATATATATTTTTGAATATATAATCAATCAAAACATGATACAATTGTAATTTGTGAACACTTTTCATGAAACTTATCGGTATTTATAGTTTCTAATATATTTTCGGTAAAAAAGGTTTTAAAGAGAGCATATTTCTTAATCTGCAACTACTAAATTGTAATGTGGAAACGATAATTTGCATGTATCATCTAATAAAATACTATTTTCTGTCTTTTAAAAATCAAATCTGTCTTTTAAAATTTAATAAAATTATCTAATTCATATCTAGTATAGCTATTACCTTTAGCATCACAATTTCCTTCTCACCAAAAAACGACGAAATAGGAAACCTCAAATATTTATTGAGCTCTATCGCCTTTCACTTCCCTTTATCTGCAACACTTCGCTTACATGAAGCATCGCTCTTCCTATTTTTATGCAACCATTCATGTCTCGGCATAATCAAGCTGACCCATATTAAGAGAAGAGATCGACGACGAGAAAGACAAAAAGCTGACTGCGCACAAATCTTCAAGAAGAAAGTTGCGTAACCTAATCCTTAAAAAAAAAAGGGTAAAATCTAATTCGGAGTCTTAATATCCTGATATTTCTTCTTCAAATATAACATAATTATTTTCTTTTTGGAAACAAAACTTTTGTCTTATCAAAATATAAATATCATCCAGACAAAAATTTAAAAAATAAATTCACGTAAATAATATTCTTATATAAAATTATTAAACGTTGCTTTTATATTCATAGATTAAATTTTACAAATCGAAAACTATAGTCGTTTATCATCATTGGCAAAATAAATTAAATTATTTAAAAAATTTTTTAAAATTTATAATAAAATTAAGAAATATAAAAGTTAAAAAACGCACATTATATTAAAACTTACATACACCATAATCTTCTAATAATAAAAAAAATATTTTATATCGAAAATGCGTTTTATTTATTGGAATTTGTTAGATTTATATACTCGTCTCTAGTCGTTATCTCATAACTTTGTCATTAATTCAGAACTTTCTCAAGAAGCTACTCGTACTACTTTTCGCTTCTTAATGCGTCGTCCACATTTTTCTGCTGCATTGAGTGCTCCAACGAATAATAGAGGAGCCACTGCGGAGTGATGCGGCAGCCCTTAACGATCTTTATGAAGTTATATAAAACGAAGAGGTGCGAAAGAAGCAAATAGCAGGGAAGAAAATTGAAAAATTCGTTTGGTGCGATTGAAAGATACTGCATTATATTGTAATATTGCACA